CCCCAAAACCCCAAAACCCCAAAACCCCAAAACCCCTGGGGAAAATGCAAATATTGAAATTTAAAAATTTAAATTTGAAAAAATGAGCATTTATGACAAGTACCCGAAGATGGTAGAAATTAGAAGTAAGTGTATAATTTTGTTATAATCTTAATGTTCTATAATAGGTACATCTCCTCACAACATAATTGGTCGAAAAATCTCAGTGTCTCCTCAAAATTTACCATTTTGCTCATCCTCAGCTCGAGAAATATGAGACCCATCAAAAAGAACTTCCAGACCTCAAAAACCAACTCTGCGAAAACCTACAGGCACAAAACCCTCAGCTGTTCTCTCCAAAAAGGACTTTTCCAAACCCCGGACCTCAAAATCCAAGTAATTATCCTCTTCTACCCCTCTTACACCCACAGAACTCTTCGCCAAAAACGAAAATCATGTTTACACAAAAGGAGCACTCCAGATCTGCTCAATATCATCAGTTCAGATTCTGAAGGGCCCTTCTACCAATCAATTTTCCAGATGGAGTATCCCAAGCAAGCAACTGCCAGAGAAACAGGAGAAAATAAAGAAAACGTAAGCTTAGCTTCTCATGCAATAGATTCAGAATAACCAGATTTTCAAGAAGAAAGTTAAGGCCAAAAGAAAAAGCGTGATTAATAAAGCAACCAAGAGGAAACCCCTCAGTGTGATAGAGACCTGCAGCGGCCGAACTAGAAAGGGAACATTTAGGGGAGATAAGAGTAAAGCTGGAACAGTAGTTGAGGTATATGTGTTGAAGAGTGGTTTAATACTTTAGGAAGCAATATCACATAGAAAGACTTTAAAGGGGAAAAGTAAAACTAATATTATCAAAAACTCTATTAACAAAAAGATAGCAGGTAAGTTTTAATGTCATCTTCTAGAACCAAAAGATTCTAAATTTAAAAAGGGGTTGAAACAGATCAAGCAAGATTCAAATATCTCAGGGAAATTAACAAATAATGTTCACACCTCAACTCCAAAGTTAATGGAAGCTATTAAGAAGATTTATAAGGAAAAATACCTCAATACAAAAGGTTTTAAGACCTCTAGACCTAACGATGCAAGCTATGAATATTCAACCAGAAGCAATAAGAATCTCGATCTCGAGCATGAAAATGCTCCTGCTGAAGTAGGCATCTAGAAGCTTAACTATAGGAAAACAAGGTGTGGGAATATCCCCTTAAGAAGCCAGTTGTGAAAAGTACTCATTTCGATGATCATTTTAGAATCCGAAAATCCTAAAATATCCAGAAGAAAGCTTAGTCGATCCTCTTGCTCAAAGAGCAAGAAGGATCTAGGCATGGACTTTTTAGAGATCAAACCTAAGAAGTCAGCAAAACCAAAATAAACCTAATACGAAGTATCTCTTTTAGTAATTGTAGAATTAAGAAGAATATAAAGGAACACAGGATTGTCAACATTTCCGTTCACAAGGATAAAACTAGAAATGAAGATTGTTGCTCTGCTTATAACTATGAAGTCAATGAGAACCGGACTCGAACTTTTGAAGATTATGCAAAGAGCAAGACGAAGAAATCTAAAGGTAATCTCTAGCAATAACTGATAGCACCAGTAAAGAAAAAGATTCAGAAGCCTAATAAAACAATTTGAAAAGGTATCAAGACTAAGAGAAAATTTAAAGAGAAATCTAAGTTGTTAAAGGTCAAAAAGGGGAAGCTTAAGCTGAATAAGTCCTGAATTAGCAAACTCTGAAAGGCTGGCTCCAGAACTTCCCGAATCTCTGATAGGTCGTATAATGGACCAGTTCAGGTCAACACTTCTAAGAATAAGCGAAAAAGATCTGGATCGATAAGCAGTAACTCAAATAAGGATTCCAAGAGGACTAAAAGCAAATCCAAAGGCATAAAGCCTGCTAGCTCTATGAAAATGATCAATGTTGGCAACTTTGAAGATGGATTTGAGGATGAAAAGCCATATGAGTATGTAAGATTCATAATTTTTAGAGATAACGCTCAATCATCTAATTATATCAAATACAAGAGTTTCCCAAGTAAATTTAAAAGATGCAGAGAGAAAAGTATTAGCGAGCTTCAATTCTCACTCCAACAGCAGATAGAGAGCATAGAGGGTATTGAAAAATCTGTCCAACATAGTTTGAAGGAAAAGAAGATTCCTCTAAAGGTAATCGAAACAGTTTTATTATTAGAAAAATCTTTCAAAGATTAAAGCTAAGAATAGTAAGAATGAAGGTAACAGAAAATTGAAAAGAAGCAAGTCTAGTCTCTCCAAGAGCAAGGTATTGAGTAAGAATAAAACCAAAGCTCGACTAGGCAGGCACAAAAGAAGTAAAAATGGGAGTAAAAGTTCTGCTAATCTCAGATCTCTGAGTCAAAAGAACGAAAGTCAAGGGAAGAGAATAGAGGTAGCAATTCCATTTCAAGGAATTTTCATGCAGGATGTATCTATTGAGTCTACTCCTAAGCTAGTAAATCCACAACTAACAGAGCAAGAATCGATCATAATTATCCAAAAATGGTGGAGATCAGTGCTTTCTCTTAGAAAAGCAAATTGAATAAGTAACTTAAGTAAAGATCACCCACCGATAAAATAATTTGAAGAGGAAAAAGGTGAAACATAGCTTCAGCTTTGGAATGGATCCTAATTACACCAATATCACGAGTAACTCAAACAACAGCAACGCAATGTTTGGATGTGTGACCAGCAAAGAAACTCCTATCTGTAAGACTGAATAACGATTCTAGTCATATCTCAAGGATTCAGTGAAGAGTATACCAACTATAAAGACAAAGATGGTTGAAAGAAGACTATTATAAGTAAGGGATCTGAGTCTGACCTCAACCCATTACTGACAGAAGGAACTCAAGAAGTTAGGCCAGAGATCGATATTACTAGTATCGAATTCAATAAAGAGCCACAAATGAGAGAAAGATCTCGTCCTATGGCTATTGAGAAACCAGCAGTTGAGGAAATCTTTATTCTAAACCCAACAAAGCAAAATTCAGGTCATGCTCCAGCGAAGATTGATCAAAGCATTAAGAAGAGGGAAAAATCTTTTGACAGAAACAATAATTTCAGCTCTTCAAAAGTAGAAATTTCTTCTGAATTTCAAGACAGTCCTTTATTGAAAAGTAAGCCAGAAGATAAGATTGAAAGCAGGTTGGAGAATATCCATGACCTAGCTCCAATGACTCTGAGTAGGACAATGAAAAGAAAGTTATGAAAGAAGAGATCTAAGAGTTTGAAAGAAGCTACCCCTCAAATGAAAGGTCTCTTACATGAGGTAATGAAAGATATGGTTCTCGAATTGATAGACATTGAAGATTTCACAAGTCTGAGGTTGAATAAATCCAAAAATGACATCATTCCTTCTCCAAGAATTGAAGCGAATCTTTTATCTTCTTGCAGCAGTGAAGACATGGACAACATTGTAGTAAATAAGCTGATTCTAGATGATTCTGAAGACTCGATGGTACATGACCAAGAGCTGAAGATTGAGGATTTAATACAAGATCTTAAGGACGAACATTCTAACTCACCTTCAGAGTGAAATTACGATTTAAATTTCAAGGGAGACTCTTTCATGAATTTAGTTGAGTCTAAAAACATGTCAGATTCCAGTGGTCCATCAGCACTGTTTAAAAACTCTTTCCCTGACCTAAACCAACCAATGATTCGAGATTTCTTATGCAAGGCATCTTTTAGCAACACTGAGTTGATAAGCCAGCTGCCTAAAATAAATGAAGAGCTCGACCGTCAGTACAATACTGAAGGGAGAAAACAGTCGGGTGATAAGTCTGATAGATATAATGAGAAATGGTGTGAAGCTCCTAAGAGTTCTATTGAGAATAGGTAAGCTTGCATTTTGATTTTTAGTGAAAAATCAGAGAAAGAGACATGCTCTAATGCCATGAAAGCTATCAGTGAGGCTAAACTCACAACTGAGAGAATCAAGAATTTGCTCAATAGGAGCCAGAACCAGTAAATTTTGAGTTAAATTTTAGATTGAAAAACAAAGATTTTGAAGCTATTTCTAATTATGATTCTGAAAGCTCTCAAAGTAGGATCTCTCAGTTAAAAGAGAAGATAGCAAGAGAGATGAGCAATAGTCCCTTGAAACCTAATTTAAGTATTCCAGGAAGGATTCAAAACTCTCCATTGAAGAACCAAAGAAATTCTGATATCGAAGTCAAAATTATTACAGACTTATTGATTAAGAATTTAATTTCTGATTGAATAAAAATTCCTCAAAGAAAATCGGAGAATGAAGAAATTCAACCAGTTATCGAATGAGCTCTAAATCTAGATCTCTTAGAAGATGAGATCCCAGACCAAAATGTCATTGTAGGTCCAGTTGGTAGAAGAATTATCCCCGATGACTTACTTGAAAGGAACTGCATCAATATTTTTCAAGGTATTTATTAAGCCTAACTTACAGATTTTGAATCTATTGAAACTCAAGACCTCCAAAAATATGACATTAACTCTATGATGAATCCTTCAACCCTAGAATTTGACCCCTACTTGCTTTTTGAGAAATCAAGGAGTCGCAAACAGAAGAAGGAATTAGATCAATACTTGTTAGAGGATTTCCTTGATGAAGTTTTTAACAAAATATGTGTGAGGAAAGATCTATTTCTGATAGCCTTCTCACAGCCAACTCAGAATGACCCTCTGATTTGTTTAGAGGAGATTCAGAATCAGGCTAGATCAAAGAAAGTTAGGGATCCAAGAGATTACACTTTGACTGATAACTTATTCAGTACCAATTATATTTTTAAAGAATATAGAAGCTGCATGCCAGGCATTTATTCCGTCCCAAGACCAGTGAAGTATCTGAAACACTTCGATGCCCATCGCTCTGCTCTATGGGACCCAGAAAGATCTTTGAATATGCAACTGCAATTTCCAGATGAATCACGATGAATTTTTAGACACAACTGGATATAAGGAGAAGGTAAATGAAGCTCTGAACTCTTTAGATCAGTGAGACTTCATTGAAAGTTTCTATTTATGAAAGTTCAAAATTGATCCATTACAAAGCGATATTTGATGGAATAAATGAAGCTATTAACTCCATTCGTCCCATGCAGAACTTTAAAGCCCATTTACCTTGGAGCAGTATGAAGGTGCTTCCGGAATACGATATCACAGAAGTAGTATGCTTTAGTTAATAACCTATAGCAACGGATTTACTCTAAAGTTAAGGAAATACTCACTTCTTGGTCTAGCTCCAATGCTGGTCCTCTTCCATGCTCTGATTGATATACAGAAAATGATTTCAATGAGGAGTTATTCACTGAAATGAGGGAACAAAATCTCAACCTGATGCTATCAGAAGAAGTCAGCAATGAAGCATCATATAAATTCTACGATATTGAAGAAACAGAAGTGAAAATTCAATTGAGTAAGGATATCTTTGACTTCCTTCTATCAGAGACTGTTGAACTTCTTAATCTACTTGAATAACTCTATTTCAATCCTATCAGTTACTTTTGGGGTTTTGGGGTTTTGGGGTTTTGGGGTTTTGGGG